GTAGTGCGGTAATTCGGCTCAGTCTCCGGGGCCTCCTTGACTTTCTTAAGGAGCTCACTATAGATAGGGTCCTGCGCGTAAGCTTCTCTGACCTTCTGTTGTAGGTCCTTCCCTATATCGAGGTAGTGCACTATTGCCCCGAAGTAATCAACTCTTCTACTCAGAGCGTCCGCGACTACGTTATACTTCCCTTTGACAGGCTTGAGCTCAAAGTCGTACTGATCTATCTCTGCGGCCCACCTAGTAAGCTTAGGTGTCATCTTGGCCTGCGTCTTTAACCATCGTAACGTTTCATGGTCAGAATAGGCTTTGAAGTGCCTCCCAAGCAAGTAGTGCTTCCACTGGTCTAACACTTGCCTGAGAGCGTAGAGTTCCCTCTCATAGGTAGATGTCGCGACCTTCTCTGAAGGCATTCTGGCGGACATGAACTCTACGGGTCTATACCCATTGCCATCGTCTTGCTGCAACACCGCGCCTATGCCGTACTGGCTAGCATCCGTAGTAATGACAAAAGGCAAGGACGGATCGACGACCTTAAGGACCGGATACTCTATCAATGCCTGCTTTAATTTCTTCATCGCAGACGTGCAGTCCTTGTCCCACTTCCAGATTGTCTCTTTTCTCAGCAATCTGCGAAGGGGCGCAGCGATGGTGGAGAAGTTCCTCACGAACTTCCTGTAGTAATTTGCTAAGCCCAGGAWYGAGCGCAACTCTGTCAGCGTACGTGGCGTGGGCCAATCTCTAATCGCTGCGATCTTGCTATCCTCTGGCTTAACGCCGTCCCCATCCAAGACGTGGCCTAAATACAAAACTTGGGTCTTCGCCCAATCGCACTTCTTTGCATTGATCTTGAAGTTAGCTTCCCTCAGCTTCTCCAAGACCTGCCTGAGATGACCCTGATGCTCTTCGAGGGTCCTACTAAACACTAAAATGTCATCCAAGTAAACTACAACAAATCTATCTAACCACGGCCTAAACAAATCGTTCATACAACGCGGGAACGTAGCTGGCGCATTGGTTAGTCCAAAGGGCATCACTATAAACTCATAATGCCCATACCTGGTCCGGAAGGCTATTTTATACTGATCATCAGGATGTACCTCTATTTGATGATATCCGGACTTTAAATCTATCTTGGAGAAATATTTGGACCCCTGGACTCGATCTAAAAAATCATCTATCCTTGGCAGTGGCTCAACATTTTTCACTGTAATCGCATTCAGACCCCTATAGTCTATGCACATTCTCAGCTCTCCCTCTTTCTTAGGAACAAAGAGGACAGGTGCTCCGAAAGGAGACGAACTGGGCCTAATCCAACCCTTCTCGAGGAGCTCGTCTAACTGCTTCCGCAACTCCTCTAACTCCCGCGGGGACATCCTATACACCGCACCCTTAGGAGTTCTACTACCAGGCTCTATCTCAATATGGTGCTGGATGGGCCGCGGTACTACTCCTATCGGCGGCTCAGTTAAATCTTGAAACTCCTCCAGCAGTTTGGCAATCGCAGGGTCCATCGGTTTCTCCTCCATAGGCTAGGCCTAACATAGGCAACAAAGACATGTTCCTCCAATCCTTCCTTCTTCACCAGTCTGGCGAACGCGGGGGCACTAAGGCAGCAATGCGCCAAGGAATTCTCTACCCCTGACACATGGAACAAACGGGCAGTCTTGGCCTCGCCTGACGAACTAGGGAGCCTACACTCGCGCTCCTTTAGATGGAGCGTTGCCCCGGCTGCCTCTCCCCAATCCATTCCCAACACAATATCAAACGGGAGGCTGTCCTCTACGACAAGAGTCAGGGAGTGGAGGACCTTCTCCACTTTCCCATCTTTCTCTAGGCGGAAATACGCCTGGACTCCCTCTACGTAATCCTCTACAATCATAGTACGATTATCCGCGAGGATACTAATTATGGGGTCTGTCAGTTTCTGGACTTTAAATCCCAGCCTCAACTTCTGGAGCGCTTTCCTACTAATATAGCTGCGAGTGGCCCCTGAGTCTACTAGGGCCCCTACTCTATTTCTAAAAATCTCTGTATCTAACAAAATCAGTTGCCCTTTATTCTCCTTCTTCATCTTGGCCCAGGCGGGCATCCYCTCTTTCAATTCTTTGGCCACGCCTGTGAGGGAGGTGTCTAGCGAAAACACAAGTAGTTTCGGGACAGCTGTCTAGACACCGGCTTGCAACCTCTGCCGTAGGCACATGTGGTGTGGGAGTCTCCTGCCGGCTAGCGCTATTTTCCCCATATGGCCTAGTGGTAGGGGCAGTTGCTACCCCTACCGGCGGATGTCTTTTGGCCCTTGGGCAGCCGTTCGGGTCTCTGTATACTTGGGACAATATTTGATGATATGGCCCGGGTCACCGCAGAAAATGCACTGGCCCCGGTCCAATCGTTTTTGCCATAAGTCCTGGTTCAGACCCAAAGATTCCCAAGGCCTACCCTGAGGTAGCCCTGGGTGCCATCCTCCTACTCTATAGGGAGACCTATTCCTAGGACGGTTTTGCAAGGGACCTTGACCCCTGCCTCCCGCTTGGCGATTTCCTCCTCTGCCGCCAACCCCCTGATCGCCCTGGAATCGGTTCCCTGAGGCCCGGCCCCCTTGGCCCTGGCCTCTTCCTCCTTGCGGCCTCCCTCCAGCCGCGACAGCAGCGTAGGATCTCCCCTGGCCCGCACCGCTGTCCTCCTCCTCTAACCCCCACTCAATCTGATCGTAGGGGATTTCATCCACACTACCTTCATCTAAAGTGAGCACAAGGCTATCCTTAGTCTTGACCTTCCCTGAGATAGTGCGGTCCTTCCACTTTTTGCCTTTGTCTAAATCTTTGTGCCAGAAAGTGGAAATAGACGCAGACTTCGCCTCGAACGCGACCACTTCCTTGCTAAGTACATCATAAGTCATAGCAGGGTCCTGACTCTTGTCAAAGAAGTGACCACGCTGCGCTTCGGGCATGGCCCGGTAGAAGAGGTTGACCAACTGGGTCTCTATGACCTTGTGGTCAGGAACAGCCACTAACTCATCCGTTGTGCCCTTGAGTGCCCTTGCACTCTTCCATTGGCGCGAGTGTATTGTCTGAAGCCTATCTGAGGCTTTGACACTACGGGCAACATCAGCGAATCGCTCGCGTAACAACTTCAAGAATTCGGTGAGGGACGTGAACGAGGAGTACGCTACCGGGTCGTCACTGCAGTTGGCAGCGCGAACTTGGAACCTTGCAAAGCTGGCGGCCTCATCTCTAAGCGCGTGGATCGCAATTAGGACCTGCTGATCCGGGGATACCTGTTGCAGATGCACRTAAGTCTTAACATTGGCCTCCCAATTGTAAAAGTTCTCTTCCCTTTTCCCACTGTAGGAATCAGGGAATTTGACTTTGACCGGCTCCCTGCGAGGACGGGCCTCCTCCTCCTTGGGAGCGGCCACCTTGACGCCTTCGATGGCGCCGACACAAAAACGCTCAGTCTTCTCNAACGCTCAGTCTTCTCGAGGCGATGACTCACCTCGGATCCCACAACGCCTACTAGTTCGCGAGCAAAATCCCGTAAGCCCGTTCGCATTGAGCGTACAGATATCTCCTGGCTGCGACTAAACTCAAAGTGCCTTTCTTGCACTTTAGCTAACCGCTCAACGCTCTGGGCGATGATCTCCACTTTACGTTGGAGATCCACTTGCGAAATCAATTGTGTTGTTACGACAGCCCTCACCTCCTCCAGTTCCTACATTGCCGCATTCGCCGCCTCCACTCTTCTCTTCTTCTCCCTCATCACTGCGAGCTTCCACGCCATCCTTTGTTCATCCTCATCGCCCGCCGTGTCAGAACATCTTCTGCTTCCCATTTCTTCATGGCGGCTTCTTGCTCATCCTTGGGGATGTACATAGCAACCTCTTCCTCCTCACCCAGGGATAAGTTGGCGACCCACTCCGAAATCCGTTTCTCCATCTCTGCGTCCTTGCCGCCACTGTGCTGCCCACTCCTTTGCAGTGGCGGTCCCTCCTCCTCTTCATCCACCTCCTTCAGGTTCTCCTCTTCTTCCTTTATCAGCCTCTCCTTCTCCCTGGCCATTTCTTCCTCCATCTTCTTCAGTTTGGCCGCCTGTTCTTCTTTCAAGGCCTTCTTCTTGGCTTCCTTCTTCTCCTTCCTCTCCTGCAGGATGGCGGCCATCTTCTCCTCCTCCTCCTTCGTGTATGGTTGGGTGGCGGTACCACCTCGAGTGGGCCCTACTCTACACGCAAAGGTATGCCAAAATCCCAGAGGAAAGAGGAGACGCCAGAGGGTCCCCCAAAGGGAGAACCCAACCAGCAACCCATACATCGGATAGTCGTCCATCGTGGTGTTGGTGCACGACAAGGGTCCCACTCCTCACCACGTAGCCCTACCCGGACACACTAACCTACTGACTAACTTCCTAAGGACCACAGGACAAGACCCTGTCAACTATGGCCACTACTAACCCAAGACTACTCTAAGGCTGTCACTACAGAACCAAGAGCTGATCAGGAGGCATTTAAGGAGATCCCCCAAACTCCGCAAGAATTCTTTAACGTCGCAGACAGGACGACGCGATCAGCTTGGCTCCTCTGGCGATTTCAGCCCACAACTCAGCCTCTCCAGCCTACTGTGCCACACCGAGCAGCCCGCCGGTCTGTACCGGTCCTTGGAGGGGTTCGTATCCCTCGGGACAGTCGAGTCGTCAGACACAGATCATCAGCCGTAGTAGGTCCGGTAGGGGAGTGGCTCAACCAGGCCTCAACACTTAAGGACGACCCTCGTTTCAGCCTACAGCCCGGAGTTCAGACCCTCTACACCGAAATCAGTAGACCTGCCGGACAGTACCGGTCATTGGGCTAGACGAGTTGTTTAACGAGCGCTCGCCGCTCATGCCCAGGTCTCCAAGTGCCAGAGTAGAGCTTTGGTCCTACTAAGTCCCGTGCAGGTTTGGCAGCAAGGCCCTATCCTTCATCCACAGATTCCTAGCACCTAGGACAGAAGAGACTCAATGCAGAAAGAGTAGACAGACAGACTCAGCAAGTACCGTGGGGTAGGGTAAGGGGATAGGCTGAAGGGTCAACGAGGTATCGCCAACTCCAGTTTGGTCAAAATCTTGGTCAGCAGCAACTTCGGTCAACGCCTTGGTCAACGCCGAGTCAACGCGAGCAACCCCCAGTCAACACTTGGTCAACACCCTCGGTCAACGCCTGTTCAACCCTTGGTCAACCCTCTGGTCAATGCTCCGGTCAACGCCCGGTCAACCCTTCACCTCGGCTATGGCTGCCGGCACCATCACCCTCGTCACCCTCGCCGTCTTCTTCCCCTTCCTTCACTTTCTTTCTTCTTCTCCTTCGCTTT